TCTCTCTCTCTCTCTCTCTCTCTCTCTCTCTCTCTCTCTTTCCCCAAGCCACAAGGTATAGACAGAAATGCAGAAGAGGAAATTTCCCCATAAGCTGTGCCAGGCAAGATGGGCCTCAGGGACAGAGAAGGGGCCAGGCTGACTCACCTCAGAGCACAAGGCCCATCCTAAAGCAACCCACACAAAAGAACTGGGGAAAGGAAGCAACTATTTCACATTCAAGAGGGGCCACAGAATTCATCCCAGAGAGAGGACTCTGTGTGTGTATATGCATGTGTGTGTGTGTGTGTGTGTGAGAGAGAGAGAGAGACAGAGAGAGACAGAGAGCGAGATTTACAAATAAACTAATGACGAAACTTTTGTGGAGGTGAGACTCACATGACATAAAATTTCTAATGCTAGTTTTGGGTGTGTGACCTTCGGAGCTGCTTATCACTACACTATCCCCATCACTTTCTGTACCGCGGGCCTACTATGCGCCTTCCCCATACCTTCCTTGTCTGTGTAGGAATCAGATTTTGGGTTTTCAATATTAATGCACTGATGCACCAAGCAAAACTCCTACAGAGCTAAGGAGTTCTTTTATGGTTCTTTAGGATTACTGATTTTGAGTCTCTCTTAATGAATTTCTTGGTCATTTATACATCATCTTTGGAGAAATGTCTAGTCAAGGTTTAGCCCATTCTTCAATTGTGTTCTTTGGGTATGTTATGTTGTCTTGTATGAGTTTGTAATGTCTCTCTCTTCTCTTTTCTTTATTCTTTCTTTCTTTGTTTCATTAATCCTAACCCAAAGATTTTTTTTTCATTGAATTTAGGGAGAGTGGAAGAGAGAGAAAGAAGTGGAGGGAGAGAGAGACTTCCAGTTTCCAGGTCTTGGAGCCATAAATCCCTGCTCTTTATAAGCCTCCAGTCCATGGTCTTTTGTTAAAATATCCAAAAAAGTCTAAGACATACGACCTTTTATTTCAAATATATTTTTATTGATTTCAGAGAGGAAGAGAGAAGGAGAGGGAAATGGAAACATCAGTGATGAGAGAGAATCATTGATTGGCCTCCTCCTGCGGGCCCCACACTCGGGATGGATCCTGCAACCAGGAATGGAATGATGATCTCATGGCTCATAGGTTGACACTCAACCACTGAGCCAGGCCAGCTGGCCATGACCTTTTAATGCTATTATCCATCAATGGACTTTTGAGTTGCTGGCTGACACCTTTTGACTAATGTGAATAATGCTGCTATAGATATGGGTGTGCAGGTATCGTTTTGAGGTCCTGCTTTCAGTTCTTTTGGATATACACTGAGTACCCAGATTATTATGACCACTCCATCAGTACAATGAAGTGAATTAGTTATGCAAATAATAATAAATAATAATAATAATAATACCTTGAGAGTATTTGCTTAGGAAGTTTTCAATATTCAGTATTTTTGGAAGTCTCAATGAAGTAATGATGGGGTGGGTGGTCATAGTAATCTGGCCGGTCATGATAATCTGGCCACTCAGTGTATAACCTCAAGAGGGGATGTTACATGTCATGGTAGTTCTATTTTTAATTTTTGGAGGAACTGCCATATTGTTTCCATAGCCAATACACCCTCTTACAATCCCACCAAATGTGCCTAATGGTTTCCACTTTGGAACATGCTCACCAACACTTGTTATTTTCTGTGGTTTCATTTCTTAGTGGCCATCCTACAGGGTGTGAGGTAATCTCTCATTACAGGTTTTGATTTACGCATTCATTGGTGGATTGTTGTATGTGCCCCGACCAGGATGGAACCGGCAAACTGGGTGTATCAGGAAAACACTAACCAACTGAGCCACCCAGCCAGGGCTTTCATTTGTAGTTCTTTCGTTTTACTGATGTTGAGTCTCTCTTCATGACATAGTTGGCCATTTGTACATCATCTTTGGAGAAATGTCTATTCAAGGTTTTAGCCTTTCCTTCAATTGTGTTATTTGGGTTTCTTATGTTGTCTTGTGTGAGTTTGTAATAGATGCTGGATATTAACCCCTCATCAGATACAGTTCCTCTCCCATCCTGTAGGTGGCGTCTGGAGTCTGGTGAGAGTGTCTGGTGTTTAGGTTTTGAAGTTGGTACAGTCCCACTTGTCTATGTTTGCTTTCCTTGTCTGTGCTTTTGATGTAAATTACCAGGAAATCATTGCGAAATCCAACGTCATGGGCTTTCCCCCTATGTTTTCCTCCAAGAGTTCTAGAGTTGTGGGCATTCTATTTAGGTCTTTATTACATTTTTAGTTCATTTTTGCATAGAGCAGCGGTTCTCAACCTGTGGGTCGCGACCCCTTTGAGGATCCAACGACCCTTTCACAGGGTTCGCCTAAGACCATCAGAAAACACATATATAATTACATATTGTTTTTGTGATTAATCACTAGGCTTTCATTATGTTCAATTTGTAACAATGAAATTGGGGGTCACCACATGAAATTGGGCACCACAACATGAGGAACTGTATTAAAGGGTCACAGCATTAGGAAGGTTGAGAACCACTGGCAGAGAGGAAAGTGATTCTTCTCTGGAAACCTAGAACTGCATGAAAGAAACAAAACTGTGAGGGGTATTTTTCAAAATAGTCCTTGTTTTCCTGCAGTGTGTTCTCACAGTGGGGTCTAAAGAAGCTGGACTTACAGAAAGAAAGTAGAATGGTGATGCTGGGGTGGGGGTGAGGAAAAGGGAAGATGTTGGTCAAGGGTAACTTTCAGCTACAAGATGAATAATTCCTGGGGATGTACTAGACAGCAGCATGATGACAATTAACAGGATTGTATTAAATACCTGAAAGTTGTTATGGTTATACATCATTCGTGTCATAACCATAACAATTCTAATTATTAGAGAGGATGGAAGTGTTGATGAACCTTACTGTGGTAATCACTTCACTATATAGGTGTATCAAATATGCATATGGCATACCTTACACTTGCATGCATTCTGTTTAAAAAATATCTCAATAAATCTGGAAATAAAATAATTATCTACATCCAAGTAATTATTAATGTTCTCTAAAGTTTATCAAATTGATAGATGAAAGATATATGAACATAATAACATAAAATGGTGAGTGGGTGTGTCTTAAATGTTGAATTTTTTTATTATGCATGAATAGATATAGCCTAGCCGGTGTGGCTCAGGAGTTGAGTGTCAACCTATGAATCAAGAGGTCACAGTTCAATTCCAGGTCAGCCTAAATGCCTCGGTAACAGGCTTCATCCCCAGGGGAGGACGTGCAGGAGGCAGCCAATCAATGATTCTCTCTCATCATTGACATTTTTCTGTGTCTCTCTTTCTTTCTCTCTCCTTTCCTCCCAGAAATCAAAAAAATATTTTAAAAAATAAAAGATATAAATTTTAATTGAATAATAATCACAAGGAATAAACAAAATCCCTACTTGAAACAAGTTCAACAACAGCAACAAAATAAAGAGAAGATCCAGACGGAATTAGACTCAAGAAACTAGCACAGACACTACAGAGTAAAATCAATTGTCATATGATATCTCAGAAACATTTTCATTTATGATTAAATGTTGAGATGTTTTATAACAATAATTCTGAGGTTGGCGTCTATGCACAGGGAGAGGAGAGCTGCTCCTAACTCTACTGTGTATCAGCACCTACAGATGGGAGACAAGAAGCTCAGGTGGTGACCAGGTAAC